TTCACAGACGTTGCCAGACGAACCGCACAGAGGCGACTATCAACAGGTATCCAGTCAAGTAGGGATACTTCCGCCCGGTGACTTAGCACAATATCAACCCCTACATATCCCACCGCAGCAGCCTCTGGATCACGAGAGGTGCGCAGCCGGAAGCGAGTGGAGACTGACGGGGCGGTCAACTCAGTCACTGTGCTTGCATCTTGAATTCTCGTTTCTGAGACACAGCACGCATCAATGCCAAGCGAGTCCAGTGTGAGTGCAAGAGCAGCTTGTTGTCCTGCTTGCCTCAGAGTGCGGACATTGAACGCGGCCAGATAGACTGGGTGTCGAGGCTTGAGGACAGATTTGGAGATTCCTGAAGATGTCGGCACCATGTGATGAGCAGATGCTGCACGCAAAACCAATGCATGACGAACGGAGTCATCAGTCCTAAGTGCTGGACCTGCATGGAGGGAGTCATTAATGGGTTGGCAAGTGGGAAGGGGGAAGAAAAAACATGTGAAAGAGAAAGAAGGGGGCGTCAGCAGTAGCCTGTTTTCGCTTAATTGCACCGCTGTATGCAACAAGTAGGGCGACCCGGCAGATGTGGCATGAGTATTCTTAGTTGTGAATGTCATGGTTGTACGAGGGCTGGAATATCGTCAGGGTGCCCACACCTAGGCAGGTGGACGATTAGAGTCCTCAACCAACGCCTTTGGCTCGAAAACTTAACTGTAAGGTAGCGGTGTTTGGCGGGAAATGCAAATGCATTACCATTTCTACGGAACAAGTCGCCACATGTTCCAAACCCCAATCTGGAGGACCAAGAGAATGTTTGTCAGACCACTGACCAACCTGGTATGAGAGACTCTGAGTTCGTCTAACATCCGGATCTGCCAGTCTCTCAGTTGCCGAGCGATTTGCCCGCACCTTACGCGGCCCTGGAAAACGTAGGGTTCAGAGTCTCCGGACGAGCGTAACAGCGCTCTCAAGGTGTCACAATAGTTGTCTCGATGGTGTCAGAGCTACAGCCGGTTGGATCGTAAATACACCTACCCTTTTTGACACGCAAATTTTGCCACCCACCCACCTCAGAGACAACTATCAGCAAGTGTCCGGTCAAACAAAAACCGCTGACTTAGAACAGTGCTAGCCACTGCGCAGCCTGCCACAACGGTCTCTGGATCACCAACGTTCATAACCGGAAGCCAGATGATGGTGATGGGGTATTCAGTTTCACGACTGGGCTTGATTCCGGAGTCCTTGTTCCTGGCAACCACTCCAAACCAAGTTCCAGTTACTCAGTATGAGAGCAAGAGCAGCATATCTCGATTGCTTCAGAATACAGACCTTAAGTGCAGCAAGGTAAACTCAGCATGACGGCTTGAAAATTGATTTTGCGCTACCTGAGGATGTCGGCGCAGGCTGCTGGGCAGAGGTAAGACAAGTGGGATCGCCAGCCCTAACTGATGAGCCCACAACGTGAGTATTGGTAATGGTGTAGGCAATGGAGAAGATAAAATACGTGACGCGAGGGGCGTCAGAAGTAGCCAATTTTCGCTTGCCCGCCCTGCAGTACGCAGCAAGTAAGGCGCCGCGGCTGACAACACCACTGCGAGACCGCCCTATCAGGCCGGGAACCTTTTATTGTCCAAGTCTCTGTTATTCGATATCCCAAAATGGTAGGTTGGCGCTACTCTATGAGGGGTCTCCACCAGAGCGTGAAGAGTCGATATAGCAGCCTCCTTTGCGGGGACTCGGCCACGTGGTTCTCGTATTCTGTTCAACTGAAAAGAGGGATTTTTCTATGCCTAGTTCCGAACGACCTGTATAGAAGTAGATAATCATCACAAAAAGACGAGGAGAAAAAAGCAGGAATTTCTTGCCCCCACTTCTGGATTGGATTCCACGAACATCCCGTGAGCTTGGCTGAACATAGGCTGCGTTATGTCCAGAATGTTTTTTTCGTAGGTGGAGGTAAATTA